ATTCGATTAGTCCGCGTTCTACAAATTTATTAAGCTTACCTTCACGGGGGAATTCCGCAGTTCCAAACAGTTTCCTTACTGACTTTATATTAATACAGTTACCCGAGTTCCATAGGCGAACTAATTGTAAACAGTTAATCGACTGTACTTAATTGCATCGTTTAAGCGGTCAAAGAAGCAGAATGTAAATGAAAGGATTGATATCTCGTAACGAGCTAACGTACACATAAAACCTATGATAAGAGTGTAATATATTATTATTGGTTGCATTGATATTTGTTATTATTATCATTTGGTCTCCAAACTAAAAAAAAAAATAAAGAAATTTCATTTGTACAAAGTTTGACTCTGTTTCATGAATAACAAATTGAATTTTTTTTTATTTTATTAACTATAACAGTAGTTTCTTTTTTTCTTTTCTGAAATTAATATCTGTGTTATAGATTTCTATTTAATAAAACAAAATTGATCTTTGAATAACATTGAAAATGCACAATAACATTGAACAAATAAAATGTAAATAGGACAGTTATATTTCCCCTATTGAGAGAGTTTTATCATTTTTCTCGAAAATGGTATGTTTTAATAATGTTTGGATCTAATATAGTGTGTTCTAGAGTGGCTAGTATAATGCTTGGTTTTTTAGAAAACTGATTTTCAAAATTTATTGATTACACGTCCAACAAAATAGAGCTTGAGTTACTATAAGTAGAAATAACGATTACTGGTCAGACGCGTTGTACTCAATCCTCATCACACTCAACAATTCTTTAAATTCATTTATCTCGAAAACGAAGCGATGTTCAAAGAAATTTTATTGCACATTTTCGACGTATTTTACCCTGTAGAATTAGTTTTCGTCCAATTAAACCATCCATTCTTGGATACCTCGTATATACAGGGCGTTACAACCCGAGGAAGTGGATCTTACCGAATGTCTGGCCATATATTGATATTTCTACTTACACCATAGTTCAAGCTATTTTAAAACGTCAATATATACATTACTTTTTTCTTTTCTTTTAGCCTCTTCTTGGATTGTCGTCCTTTGTCTCGCCACGTGTTGTACTGCTGTATTTTATTTTATAAATAAATCTTGCATTTTGTCTTACTTAATCCGGGTGAAGAACGCTGTCTGAACCTACAAACCAACAATTACGTATAAAAAATTCGTTTGAAGTCAATAAACAAACACGCGTGTTTGCAATATTTACACTCTGTGTTGATATACGTATTCAAATATTTCGTCAGGAAATGAATATAAATATTGCACGTTGATCATAAAGTCGCAACTATTTCGTCGTTTTTTCCACCTTGAAATTCGAAAAAGTGCATTATATTCCGTTTTATTCGGAGTACCAATGTCGTAGGAAAAAATTCCAACGCACGAAAGAAGATTTTGTCCCGTGGGTGAACGAAGAGGGATCTGGCGGTAACAGAAGAGCCTGACGACGTCTTGATGTAATTATCTCGGCTTCATCCTTCTTCCGCACAAATTTCCCGCTCTTTATCCGCTGTCTACCGAGCTTTTAGTGACGAGCGAGCCTTCGTCCGGGAAATACGAGACTTTCGGGGTTTCTTAGGAGTCTTCTCTACCGCGGTTAAGTGGGCTGTTTAGGGACCCCATTCAAACGAAGAAATCACGATCCCTCTGGTAGCATCGGAGAACCAAAATTCTCAGAGAAATTACTTGTTTCGATCGTTCATTCAGTAAAAAGAAATAATCATATACTGTTAATTTAATTTATAATTTTCATTGATCTTAACAGCTGATTTCTATACTGATGACAAAAGAAGACTCTTCATTAAGCACTCCTCTATGTATTTGAAGTAATTGTTCGATTTTAGAATTTTCGGTGGATCTAATATGTTTTTAAATTTATGTGCACCAATTCCTATGTCAATAATCTGGTACAAGGGCACTCCTTTCCATATTTCATTTTCGATGCACTTGTAACATCGCGAAATTGCTTTTGACCCACGCTCTTTGGGTCAGCATTCAAACTAAACTCAACGGTAAATCAAAAGTTGAACGAGTGATTCCCGGAGATCAATTTGTACGATTCGTGCCAAGTTTTGAATATCAAATGAACGGAGGCAACAAAGCTGAATTGGCCATTCCTCTTAGTTACGCCGCTAGACCCGTCGGAGGCGCTGATCCAGCAAACCTTATCGTAAACGTGACTGAAATCTGCTCGACTCTCGTTTTCGAGTCAAATCATAGTAATCAACGAAAGATTATGGCGAGGACCATACGTTCAGGAACGTAATATACCCGGAAAATCTTAGGAATCTAGAGTAATTAGTTTCCACGAAATATATTCAAAGTTCCTATTTTGCATTCTTCCTACTTTCTGATATACAGTATTGTCTCTATAGAAGCGACGCTCTCGGGGCTCAACGCTCGGCTATATCGTGGACGAGAAACGATTCTTGATACTTTGTTGACGCCTACTGGAGGCGGCGAGTATAGAAAAGAACAGCGAGCATATGACAAAGAGGGACTGAGTGGCCGAGCATCGCCGAATTTGCTATCGCTTCCTTCGCTTCGGGTCGGCTGTAACGAAACACAGGCGATGTTTATGCGAGCCTATACGAAATCGGTGTTCTAATTCTGACCTCTACCTCTCTTGGTAGAGGTCGCAGAATGAAATACTGATTCTGTATAAGCTCGCGTAAACATCGCCTGTGTTTCGATACAGCCGACGTGGAGCCACTTGAGCGATGCATGCCTTTGATTTCTTATTGCGTTAGTAAATAGGACCTAAATTGTATATCGTATTTGGTGTCATTTTAATTAGAAAAGTGTCACGAATATGTTGATGAAGTTCGAAAAAAGGAAGAACAAAAATAAAGATAAATTTCGTTGTTGATTTAATATTGTATATGTACTAGTTAAATCGTGTCATAACTAAAGTACATATATGTATGTATCGCTCATTTACTGCAATAGTGATATGACTCAAAAAGATACAAACTTGCGAATTTGAACTGTTTAACCAACTTATTTTACTCTGAGTTCTCTCACGATTTCAGCAAATAAATGATAGGTCAATTAAATTACAATTCCTTTTTTCAGACGAGGATACACTTTAAAGAAAGGACAAATGTATATTATAATTTATGAAAAACAATAATAAAAATTATGTTGTACTTGATCTTAGTTAAATCAGAAAACTGTCACAGACATGTTAAAAGTTTTAAAACAAGAAAAGGAAAAATAAAAAATTTGACAATGCTCGACGACCGACCGTCAAACGGGCCGCTATCCTGGGGAACCGCCCATAGGAAGGCACACTCGCCGGTTGAGCGAGTGCTGGGTTCTAACGGTACGCAGTGGGGATAAGTAGAGGGGATACGATATTTGTCTATATCGTGGACGAGTTCTGAGCTTATATAGAGAAAATACTGTATAGGGTGTTTGACCAACCAGGAGATTATAGAGGTCAAAATTAGACGAAAATCAAGAATATCAATTTTTTGACTGAGGCTTCGTTAAAAAGTTGTTAAAAAATTTCAAATCGTTCTGAAAAAATTATTTTCAGTTGCGGGGGTCGATTACAATCATTCTTGGTGAATAGACATACCCTCGAAATCCTACGCATTTTCGAGAAAAAAATTCATTACAGAAAATATAATGTCTGACCATAACTGTCTGTTACCCTGAAAATTGAAAAGTTTGAAATCGTTCTGAAAAAATTATTTTCGGTTGCGAGGGTCAATTACAATCATTTTTGGTGAATAGACATAACTCCGAATTCCTACCCATTTTCTGGAAAAAAATTCGAGAAAGTGTGAAATTTTTCGACGGAAAAAAAAATTTCAAATCGGTTTGAAAAAATTATTTTCGGCTGCGGGGGTCAATTACAATCATTTTTGGTGAATAGACCAGCCCTCAAAATCCTGCGCATTTTCGAGAAAAAAATTCAGTACTGGCGGAACTTTAAACGTTAATAATTTTTTAACGAAGCCTCCATCAAGAAATTGGCATTCTTGATTTTCGTTCTATTTTGGCCTCCAGAATCTCCCATTATAATCTCCTTTAGAATCTCCCCCTCTATAATGATATAAATTATTACAATCAAGAAATATTTTGATAGCAATTAAATAGCAGACACATTGTTAGATCCTCCGTTTACGATTTTAATTTTTTAACTATTCTCACATGGCATAAATAAATTTTAACTTGTACGTTTACCTCTGTTTCGCTATTTTTATTTTTGTTTGAAGAAAACGAGAATCGATTCGTGCAGCATTGTACAGTTGACAATAATCGTTAACTGTAATATTATTTAAATATAATCGCTTATATTTTGTTGTGATATTAACTAAAATTGTGACCATTTCTTATCGAAGATAAATTTATTTATTTGTGACAATTTTTCACGGTTACTGTACGCCCTTTAATGAATTCTTTCCGACACTCTGCACGTCTGAGAGGGAAATTTTATCGTCGTAGCGTTGAAAATCTCATTTGTATAGCAAGGGTTCGACAGCAACGATGTTAGAACGAACGAAGCATTCGATAAGAGGAGTGAAAAGGAATTATGAACGCGCTATGGCTTCGTTTAGTGAACGAAAATAGAAACATGAAGTCTATGCGTTCGCTATAACTAGGTGAGGCTTTCGAATAATTTATAGACACTACAGTGCCCCATTGAACTGAGTATTTCAACAAGTTTCGTCTTTTTTATACGTCTCCTCTTTTATTCGAATAATAGATGACAAATAAAATCAAACTTATAGCATTTTAATGGCGTCGTTTATTCTATTAAATTATTGCTTGTATAATTTTGTGTTCGATCGATCCCAGATAGAGTATTATTCGTTCAAACATTGGCTACCACGGTGGTCACTGGTGACCGTCATTTCAAAGTAAACGAGTTTTTAAATCGTTTACTTTCTTGCTCAAACAACATGCAACAAATAAAGTTAAATTTACAGCAATTTATTCTATTAAATAATGAGGTATAAAATCATTCGTTAAAACGTTGGCTGCTATGGTGGTCACCGGTGACCGGCACTTCGAACCAACAATTCTTAACTGGTTCAGAGTGTGCTCTTGGTACTTGCAAGGTATCGAATAACGTTACAATTATTAGAATTGCTATAAAAAGCGAGCACACCACTGACCTATCGATTGCATATTTTTTCACATTATATATTGAACAAATGTCGAGGGTATCTTTAGACGTGACAAAATGTCGTGAAAACTGACATGTTAATACAAATTGAATGCTATCTGGATAAAAATTATTCTCTGGATTACTCGTTTATACCGAACTGTTAACAAATATCTGAACTGTGAACCTAATGGAACGAAATTGAAAAAAATGTCGCCGACCAGAAAGGGTTGAAATTCGACCCTCTAACTTAACAACGCACTTAGAAAGACTCCCGAAGCGTCGTAGAGAATAGCTTTAACGAGAAATAATAGATGAAATGAAATTGCACTTCCACTTTGGTGAAATTAGAGAAATCAGTACGCTGTGTGCGATGTAAACGGTGCAAAGGGCGGGTGTGGGATGTTTCGTGGCGGTAAAGAGACACTTCTGAAGCCGTTTCACCGCAATTTACGTGTCTCATAAAGATTTGTACGTCGTAGCTCTCGCGGCGGTAAGGGGCCGCGGTGTTGTGTATTTTTAAAGAGAATTCCCGTGTTTGTGTTCCCAGAGAGACGTGGCTGGTTCCCCGCCGTCAGCGTGGAGGGAAGAAATCGATCCAGAAAACAGCATGCCACAGTATCGCCGAACAAACATCAGGACGTCAACGATAGCGGTGGGTGCATTAACAGCATGCTAAACGTATAGGATGATTTTCCAGGAATAGTACGCTTAATTGACTCGGTACCACTCGAACTGTCCAGCGAGCCAGAAGCTCCATTGTGTCGATCGTGAAAATATTAACGTGGCTTCGAACAAACTGAAATAAAATATCTTATCAGGTAAATTAAAATAACCGCCAATAACAATATATTTTAACGCGTAATCTGTAACTGGGCGAAAAGGGGGAGGAAATATCGAGCACATAGGGGTTGGAATCAATTAGAAGCTACACAGGGTGTACGGCTAACCCGGGGAATAATTTTAATGGGAGATTCTAGAGGCCAAAATAAGACGAAAATCAAGAATATCAATTTGTTGATTGGGGCATCGTTAAAAAGTTAAAAGTTATTAAAAAATTAAATTAAAAATTTTTCAAATCGTTCTGGAAAAATTATTTTTTGTTGCAGGGATCAATTATAATAATTTTTGGTGAATAGACATAACCCCGAAATCCTACCCACTTTTGAGAAAAAAATTCGAGAAGGTGTGAAATTTTTCGACGGGAAAAAAAAATTTTAAATCGTTTTGAAAAAATTATTTTCGGTTGCGAGGGGCAATTACAATCATTTTTGGTCATTAGACATGCCCCTGAAATCCTACCCACTTTTGAGAAAAAAATTCGGGTAGGTGAAATTTTTTGGCGAAAAAACAATTTTTCAAATCGTTCTTGAAAAATTATTTTCGGTTGCGGGGGTCAATTACAATCATTTCTGGTGAATAGACATACCCCCGAAATCCTTCGCGTTTTCGAGAAAAAAATTCATTATTGGCGGAACTTTAAACGTTAATAACTTTTTAACGAAGCCTTAATGAACAAATTGGTATTCTTGATTTTCGTCTTATTTTGGCCTCTAGAATCTGTCATTAAAATTTTTCCAGGGGTGACCGAACACCCTGTATTATCTATTTCTCATTTTATTTTTAAAGACTTTCAAGCACATCTTTGGCTCAATCATTTTTAAGAATCGATTTATCGCAATTGGAAAATATAGAAATATTCGAAACAAAGTCAGAAAAGATTCCAACGAAAGTTTTATTTGGATGAATTTAATATCTATTTAATATCATAATTGTATATTTTGAATTCTGAGGGAGGCACTCGAGTCATTACAAGCTCCAACCAACAGAAACGCCAATTTTTATTTAGTGAAAGGAGTAATAATTTTTTTTACCGTTTGACAATTTTTTTATCAAAAATCTCGTAGTGTAACTGAGAAGTGTATTGTGGAATTTAAACAAACGATAGAGTGCTTTCTATGGAAATATTATCGTGTATTTAATCGTGAAAAATAAAGAAAAACCGTGAAACGCCGTGGCTGTACAAAAACGGAAAAAGAAGTCTGCGTTTTCGTTCTCCCGGAATGACCAGGCACGAAAATTAAATGGGAAATGTTACTGACTCGCCTTGTCAAATACCAAAGGCCACTAAAAAGGGGGCTGCGGTGAACCTGTTAATTAGAGACACTATCCTGCTGGCGCTGCCAACGGTGTCTTTCAAATTCAAGTACTTTATGAGTTTACAACTTACGGGGGGACCGCCTGCGAGCGACAGGCGAAAATTTTCACCAACGTTATTCGTGGATACGGTTTTGTACATACGAGTGCTCATTAAATTTGCAACCGCACTGTACCGCGCGTATTTGGAATCATCCAATAAAATATTACCGTCATTTATATTTTCGAATCGGCGAACGCGTATTAGTTTCTTTCAGTCTCGTATAAAGGGAATAATAAAAATTGTATAAAACGTATACGTAGGTGGAGATACCATACACTTTGACGTTTTTAAAAATTGCATAGCAAAACAAATTGCATCATCATCCATCATTGAGATTCCATTACTGTAGATAATGAGTTTCGAGAATTGTGAAATCTTTGAAATATTTTGGGTGAATTTAATGCATTAAGAGAATTTTATTCCGTGTACAAATTTTCTAATGGCTGTTATCATAGATATTTGTAATAACAATGGTCAGAAAATATTCTTAAAAGGTTATTAAAATTGTAAGTTAGTTTTAGAAATAGATTTAGATTCACAGACAATGCAGATCAATGTTTCTTTCTGTTTGTGTTTAATATTTGCAATAATAATGCAAACAATTCCAAGCAATAATAATGCAAAAAATTCCAATAATGATGCAAAAAAATTTCAAGCAATAATAATGTAAAAAATTCCAATAATAATGCAAAAAAATTTCAAGCAATAATAATGCAAAGAATTCCAATAATAATGCAAAAAATTCCAAGCAATAATAATGCAAAAAATTCCAATAATAATGCAAAAAATTCCAAGCAATAATAATGCAAAAAATTTCAAATTTCTAATAAGAATTATCAATTCAAATGATAACTAACATTTAAAAAATACTGTTATTTACAAAATCGATCTTAGGGTACGTGACAAATATCGAATTAGAATTTTAAGAAATTTCAGATACTCCTATCCTTGTCAGTTCAATTTCCATTGCGTTTAATATTTTTCTCAATGGAAATTTTCATAGATAGTTCGAACAATGCTAGATTGGAGCAATTGTTGAACATTTTTAAAGCGTCTAGTTAGTATTTTTTGTTATATCTTTTTAATAGTTTGGAAGTGGAAAGATTACATTTCAAGAATGCTTTCGTAAACGATGATAGACAGCCATCTTGATGCTTGATACATATTATTCTAATGATGACTAAACTTTAAGAACATGTAATTTAAAAAAAAAATACTGTTATTTATGAAATCGATCTTAGGGCACGTGACAAAATTCGAGTTAGAATTTGAAAAAGTTCTAATAATTAAAAAGGGTCCAATTGTGATCGTAAATCGTTTGTATTAATGAAAGTAGTTTTCTTGTGCCTTTCTAATAATTTGGGGGTGCTCAATGTGCTTCAACTAAAATTTAAGAACGTGTAATATTAAAAAGAAATACTGTTATTTATTTGATCGATCTTGTTTGTTTAGGTCACGTGACAAAAATCGAATTGGAGCTGGAGGAGGCTCCGGACGCTATTCTCGTCGGCTCGATGCCGTCAGAATTGGATGCCACGGCGGAAATCAATTCCACCTACCCTAACGGTGAGTGGAAAATCTCGCACAGTTCAGGAGACCGATGATACTTGTTCGAGATCTGAAAGTTTTACACGGTACGTGGCTCCCGGTGCGCGTCGACATTTCGAAACCGTGGTACGGCTGTTAGATCGATGAGATTAATGGCCCTTTCAGACCTTTCCGCAGTGACGCGAGATTTTCGTGCTTCAATGAACCGCGTTTAATTAAGCAAACGCTACCGAATTTGCATCTCTATGCGCACTCCGTTGAAGTATGCCGCGCGGAAAGTACCGGGAGCCGTTTAATTCCAAATTAATATACAATCCTAATAACGGAACTAGTTTCTGAAGCTTTCTAACGGCGTCATGCAAATTCGAGAATTTTAAATACCTCGATTGCCCGCGGCGTTCGAAGGAACACTGTTCAGAGATAGCATTCGTTCAACAAATCATCGTTGATCGAGAAATTTATGCTATTCGAGTACAATTATTTTATATTCACGAGAATAACATGACTATTATGGAGTATACTGTAATCTTGCAATGCGAAAAAAGAAGATTATACACTGTATATGTACAGTGATAAGTAATGAAAAGTGGACAAAATATTAATTATGGTTCGTACTTTGACGGGCAGTAAAAAATTTCAAAAGTGCAAACATTGCTTTGTGACATTGTTTTCGTAATAAACTGTTACATTTTGTTAATTAAATCCACCTATTCGATGTACTGAATAATTGGATGTGTCGTCGATTTTTTTGTAAGAGTAGCATTTTGTGTTTACAGTTTTGTTCGCCATTATTATATGAAACGTAAAAAAATTCTAGATTGGTACCATATTTCTGTGACTTAATGCTTCTCGTATATTAAATACATTACTGTACAATAAGAAAATTCATATAATTAGAAAAATTCAAGTAGAATTGCTTACGCTAAAAAATTTTATACAGGGTATCCGGCTACTCGTGGGAAAAATTTTAATGGGAGCTTCTAGAGGCCAGAATAAGACAAAAATCAAGAATATCAATTTGTCGATGAAGGCTTTGTTAAAAAGTTATAGAAACATTTCCGGTCACACAGTATATTTTCAGTTAAGAATTTTTTTCTCGAAAGTGCGTAGGAATTCGGGGATATGTGTATTCACCAAAAATAATTGTAATTGACCCCTGCAACCAAAAATAATTTTTCTAGAACGATTTGAAATTTTTTATATTTATCGACAAATTTGCCCATTTACACGAATTTTTTTCTCGAAAATGCGTAAGAATTTGGGGGTATGTGTATTCACCAAAAATAATTGTGATTGACCCCTGCAACTAAAAATAATTTTTCAAGAACGATTTGATATTTTTTAATTTAATTTTATAATAACTTTTTGACGAAGCCTCAATCGAGAAATTGATATTCTTGTTTTTCGTCTTATTTAAATATAAAAAATGTCACAAACTATAAAATAATTCCATTTCAAAATCACATCAGACAACGACCAATTTTAAATGACAAATAATAACATATTCCTATAAGCTGTTGCTTCTCGTGTATTAAATATAGTATCCCGAATTTTCATTACTGCAATAATAAAATCCTTATAATTAGTAAGATTTAGAATTGTTTGCGTTAAAAATTTAACGGGCTTGGATCTGTTGGAACGGAGAAAAATGTTTTGGTTTGAGAAGGGTCAACGACGTTTTGAGGTTGAGAACAATTTAATTTGTTGGATTTGAAATGTATTCGTAACCGAAGTATCGACGATTAAAGCGAGCGGAGCAACGGTTATTTCTGGTTATCCCCATTAACCGGGCTTCTTCGCTTCAGAGTGGACGCCTGCTTTGCATGCTAACTACATAAACGAGCCTCGGTAGCGCGTAACGTCTGACCCATGTGATCCGATTCTCCTTTACTGATGCCATACTCCACACACATACCGCGTGTTTACAATTGTTCGGTGTCCGTTTATACAATGACTCCGTCGGTGTCTCCAAAGACAATTTCCATATTACTCGTTTAACTCCAAAGCCCACAGTTTCGAACGTTTGCTCACGAGACGCGTATAATGCACACATATACCCTACTGACTATTATACAACAGGGAAAGCGTAGAATAGCCACGCCGAGACTTTGGTTTCCAGAAAATTCGACTCTGATAATTATAATTAATTCCATATACGTGCATTGCAATACAACTTGGACATTGATACAAGTAGACAAATAAGTAATGGATAGAAAAGAGAAATGTACAAATTCAATTATTTCTAATAATATTTAAATTCAGCATAAATTGTTAACAAATAATATTTACGAGATCTATAACTTTAATTTTTTTTATAGAATTAATTTATCATTGTGAAAACGTTATAATAATGATGAATTAACTTAACTTAAAAATTAAATTTGAAACATTATATGAGAATACAAAATGATGGAGCTAAATAAATTAGATTTGTGTCGAAATAGATCCTGAGTTCTCCGTTTGGTTGAGAATTAAAAAGACATTTGGTTTCGTTTCACACAATGATGTTCAGAGAATTTATTTATGTATAATATTGCATTAGGTTAATATTATTGTTACTAATGGTAAAACAACTTTTGTTGCAGGCATTCCGGGGTCAGGAACAGTGGTGGTCAGAGCCGAAGAAGCTCTGATCGTTATTTTGGTGCTGTTTCTCTGGGCAGCGGCGATTGCCCTATTCTTCAATCGATGGGGGAAGATTAGGATGTTGGAACCGTATCAGCCTAAGTTCCAACAACAACACAGACCAAGTTGTACCACGATCGAGCCGAATCAACTTCAGGTAGATCTCCTGTTGCAATATTTATTTATGCTAACAAATTTTTTAAATAAATTTCCCCTGGCATACATAAATAATTAAATACATCATCACAGACTAGAGAATATTTCATAGACATTCTGTAACACATTTACCAACGTCACAAATTATAATTTTGAAATATACGCGATAAAGTGTTGTAATTCTGCATAATACAAATAATATTCATAAGCCTCTCGAGACCACTTGAGATAACTTCGTAAAAACGACCGACGCTTCTGTTTGTATCGGCCCAATCATTCAATTATGCTACTTGAGCCGAAGATTTATCGGTTCTAAGGGTGTCAGTTATATTTCGGTCCAAATGGCTCCATAATGTATTCGGGCAGATTAAGGCCAAGGCCTCTGGGATAACCAAGGCAGCAATTCGGTATCCTGTTCGCCAAAAATTAGTGTACGTCCGCAACACTGTAGAAAGGGTTAAGTGTCTAATATCTTGACAAGCTTTCGTAGATTGCGTCGTGATACGTTGATATATCGTTTCTCCTTTAAAGCGCTTTCAGCGCACGGTAAACTGCCCATTTCCGGGGACTGAAAAACGACCATCTTCTTGCGGTTTCTGCAAACAATGCGATCCCACGGCAATGCTGTTTTTCGTGGTCCTGGTGATCGTGATAAGTTGTCCGCAGTATCCAGCGGAAGATATTAGGATACACGGCTCTGAAATAACGACTAAAATTCTACACATGCATTCAATACATTTAACAATTTTAATGGGAGATTCTAGAGGGCAAAATAAGACGAAAATTAAGAATATCAATTTCTTGAATGAGGCTTCGTTAAAAAGTTTTTAAGAAATTAAATTAAAAAATTTCAAATTATTCTGAAAAATTAATTTTCGGTTGCGGGGGTCGATTACAATCATTTTTGGTCATTACACATACCTCCGAATTCCTATGCATTTTCGAGAAAAAAATTCGAGTAGGTGCTGAAATTTTGGGGGGAAACAAAATTTTTCAAATCGTTCTAAAAAAATTATTTCTGGTTGCAGAGGTCAATTATAATTATTTTTGGTCATTACATACACCCTCGAATTCCTACCCACTTTCGAGAAAAAAATTCGGTTAGCTGCTGAAACTTTTGGGGGAAAAAAATTTTTCAAATCTTTCTAAAAAAATTATTTCTGGTTGCAGGGGTCAATTATAATCATTTTTGGTGAATACACATACCTCCGAAATCTTACTCACTTTCGAGAAAAAAATTCGGGTAGGTGCTGAAACTTTTGGGGAAAAAAAATTTTTCAAATCTTTCTAAAAAAATTATTTTCGGTTGCAAGGATTGATTACAATCATTTTTGGTCAATAGACATACCCCAGAAATCCTACCCATTTTCGAGAAAAAAATTCCTTAACGAAAATCTAATGCGAAGCCAGAAATGCTTTCCTGAAATTTCATGCGAATCTTCAAAATGTCATAACTTCTGAACGGATTGGACGATTTTACTGTTTCAAACGGCAAACGACGCGTATTTTAATGAAGAGTATGTAGAAATTCCAAAAATATTAGAAAAGTTATTCCTTGACTCCGCAAAATGAGAAAAACCCTAATAAAAATGGTCCAATTTTCAAACAACCATAACTTCTGCAATAGTGAATATATTTCATTGAAATTTTAGGGGGAACTAGAGTTGATGGATACCTACAAAAAAGTATTAAACATCTTTTCTGTACAGCGCCAACCAAATTTATTAAAAATGAAAAACAAATATCTAAGAAAAATCGACAAGGGGCTGTTAGGTGCCTACATTTTTTGAAGAAAAAAAAATTTCAAATCATTCTGAAAAAATTATTTTAAATTGCGGGGGCCAATTACAATCATTTTTGGTGAATAGACGTACCCTCAATATTCTACGCATTTTCGAGAAAAAAATTCAGTATAAACGGAACTCTAAATGACGAAGTCTCCATCAACAAATTGGTATTCTTGATTTTCGTCTTATTTTTGCCTCTAGAATCGCTCATGTAAATTTTTCCCAGGGGTGGCTTGAGCACCCTGTATATGACTGACAGGATTGACCATTATGATACTAGAAAAATTAACTGTCAAGTTAAGGCGTTGAGGGAAATAAATTTGGATAGAATTTGTGAATTTTAGCAAGGTTACAAAAATAAGTACTGAAACAAATTTTATTTTATGCAGCTTACAATGATCTAAAATTAAAATTTTTGCGGAATATTATACGGTTTTGATCTGCCAGTGAACGTGTTAAGGGAATTCAGATTCCCTCAGGAAGTCAGATTGACTTTTAACCCCTTAGTGCCATTCTCCTTATTTAACTCAATTTTTCCAGGTAACGCGTAAAAAATGATCGATTTTCCCCGTCGGATTTGGTTCTCTAACGTTCATAATATTTCGCGAGTTCTTCAATAGGGAATCCAGCGATTCTCGGTGACAACGTCGTGTATTGTTACAATATATTTTTAGAAATTCACGATCCTTTCTCTCGTACCATTTCCTTTAGTCGATTTTCTACGGTTTCTCGATTTTTCGTCCCATGTCTTCGGTAAAATATAAATCGAAAGAACGGGAACGCGGTACAAATGGGAACGGAAATCGCTTCGTTCGATCTCGCGCTACGGAAGACGGGGCTTCCTTCGATCGGTAACCGGCCGAGAAATTATATAGGAGACCGCTTACTCGAAACCTCCACGATTTTCAATCAAGATCGCCAGTTTCGTGGTAACGTGGGAACCTTTTCCGATACGACTTCGCGATGGCGGTGGGTCGTTTCTGAAATTGACGACTCTCAGAGTCCTGGGCAGGCTTCGAATCGTTGGAAACGTACGATCACAAAATAGGGTCTTCCTTCGACCGATACACGGTCATCGTTTCACGTACAGAATGCACTAACTTGAAGCAAGATTTCACGTAACATGGAATTTTACGAAAATCAGTAAAGATCTCGTTTGACGACCCACAACTTCTTCGATTTTTCAATAAAATGTTCCTCGACGCTGTTTCAAATTATTTATATTTAATATGAATTACGATGCTAATTCATATTAAACGCTTGAAGATATAATTAGTGATAATTCATATTACTAAAATGCTTGAAGATTCTTGTGCCAAATTCATTTTGCATCTCCAGTTATTAAGTGTTTTATTAAAGTCACAGTTTCCAGAAAAAAATGAAAAATGACTGCAATAGACAATACGACAAATTTTGTTACTTTCATAGTGAATTAAAGTGAAATAAAATATACTGGATGTGACTTTTAAATATTACATTATAAACATTAGTTTTCTGTGATTCGTGCTCTTAGAATGCCCATTTAGAAAGGGTTAAATACATTTTGTACTGTCCATTCCAGCCAGGAAAGGTAAAAAAATTAATTATCGTCAGGCTTTTGGACTTCACGGTTAATGTGCGTTTTCATTTGTACCGGGTGATTATGTTCGTACCGTTAGCGTGGTTTTCGATAAAAAGCGTGGACGCTGTGTTGTATTTGGCAATATGCAAAGTGCACTGTAACGGTTTTTCCAACCCTCCACGAAGCTGTGAATAACGTAAATTATTGGAATCTAGTTTGTACGTCAGCTTTGCGCGATGTGACCGAGGAAATATCCGGATTACACGCCCTATTCATGTTCGCGGATGCTCGCATGGTGCATTGCGCGTATGGGCGTGTGTCATCCAAGAGAGTTATGTAGCACACATCCTTGCTTCCCTCGAATATCACGTGTGAACGAAAACGCAGTCCGGTGCTCGAGATTTATAACCGAACACAGTGGACCAGAACAACTCAGCCTCTCCAGTTCGTGTCGTAAAGAATTTTTACGGTATAAAAGCATCTTCATCGATAAACACAACAAAAAAGTCTCTATATGTAAAACAGATCTAAAAGATATGTTAGAATAGATTTAGATATACATATACATATACATTACATATGATAGAATACTAATGCTGCTCAATTTCATAATTAAAAAAATAAAGAAAGTTTTTGTATTTTCTGGTGACAAAGTAGTCGTTTAAATGATAGAAAAAACTTGTTCTGTATCAGTTTAACACTAAAACTATCAATACTTTATGTATATCCATTTCTACCATGATCTGTCTTTCCTTTTGTCTCGTACGAGGTACTCCTAATGTTTGCATTATATGTATAGAACGTTGTGTTTTAAAGTTTATTAAAAACAAATATTTTTTTTAAATTCTACACGAGCAACTTAATTTTTATGATATAAAATTAAATATAAACGTATGTATAACAAAAAAACAAAAAATATTATTTTAATTCAACCTTAATTTAATAAATTATAATTTGTTTATATTTTTTCATGTAAAGCCACTATAGTTCACTATTTTAAGGTAATTCAGTTTTTAAATATGTCAAGCAAAAATCATGTTATCCAGTGTTGTAGGAGTACAGTGTTGTACAAAGGCTTTCGCAATTTTCTTATCGTGTTAAACCGAAACCGTGTTATAGGAGGACTATCTGTATATAGATTTTGAAGCGTTTGCAAAAAAAATACAATGATGTTCTCAAATAAAAGTTTAACTGAATTTTGTCCACGGATCATCGTTTTCTGGCCCACAGTGAGTCGAGCGGATAAAACAAACCGATCCACCATCGACTCGTAACGATTCGTTCCCCTGTTCGCAGACTCGTCGCACGTACTCCAAGTGCAACGTCCTCTGCGCGGACGAGTTGGCCTGCGTGGCGGGTCAGTCGCGACCCAGACAGAACAGCGTGTTCATCGGTTCGAGCGCCTCGTTGCTCCCAGGCTCCCAGGGTACTCCCCGCCGTACGAAGAGCGCGTTCGACCTGCAGTCGTTGTTCCTGCCCGAGTGTATCGCGCAGGAGAGCACCGATCAGGACGCGTCTAGGAGCATCAAAGCGGCGAACGAGTCCACGAAACTGTTACAGTGCGACCGTAGGACCAGTGTCTGTCAATCGGACAGAAACGACGCGAGCAAGTCGTCGTTTGGTCGCGATCGAGGGATGAGCGTCTGCTACCTCGACGCCGGCCAGAAGCCGTGGCACCGCGACCGCGGCATGAGCATTTGTCAGTTCGATCGTATGGATGTGCTGGCGCGACCGTTGCAGAGAGACCGCGGCGGTAGCATTTGCCATTTTGACAGAATGGACGTTCTGGCCAGACCTTTGCAACGAGATCGCACGGGCAGCGCTTATCACTTCGATAGAACGGACGTCCTCGCCAGACCGAGCCTCTCCACCGTCAAGTCTCTGCTGAGGGAGAGACGGGTGAGCATATGCAATTTCTCGGAGAGGGACGAGGCGACGAGGATCGGTCAGTCGGACAGGCGTTCGAGCATTGGGAACGTCGACAAGATCGAGGAGGACAGGTCAGCGACGGAGCAGGCGGAGAGGCAGGGGATATTCGCCAAGTGCACGCTCAAAGATCGAAAGACCAGCTATCATCTCGATCAGCCGTCTTGCAGCAAGACCTCCGACGTCGTGTTCGGGTACAAGGCCACTTGCGTGTAGCGCGCGGAAACCGATGCGTCGCGGCAAGACAATGACACGAATTTTTGTCGACGACGGTACAAATCGACGGTCCTCGACGCACAGTTGATGTATCATTCGGTCGCCGGACCAACCGAACGCGTCTACTTTGTCGATATTCCGTTTTGTTCGCACCGAACGATGAAATATTAAACGCGAAAACACTTTGGTATTTTACGAAAGTTCGTCGGGTCGGGATTGGTTTGATATTTAATCGGGTGTTGCATCGAGAAATTTTAGAGATTGAGTTTGTTTTACAGTTTCACCAGTTGGACGTCGAAAAGGTGCATTTTTAAAGTATTATTCTCTTATTTTTAAAGTTATGAGCCAATTTGACTCATAAAATGATTAATAGTTAATTGTTTTAGACACATAAAATTTATGATTTACATTAAGAAAGTTCTTATCGGAATTCTAGAAACACCTAATGAGTAAACATTCATGTTCAATCTTGTCAATTTAGTAGTTAGATGAGGTCAAAAAAAGCTGTTTCATATCTTCGACTTATACATTTATAAAATCAATTTTTGGTCAAACAATTTGGTCCGCCAAGGCAATTTCGATATTTATTTGGAAAAGGTGTTTCCGTGGCACGCTTATGGCCGCACGATGGCGCTTTACGTTGGAGTACTGTAGGGGAACCCCCAAGTGAAGCTTGCCAGTCGTTCGCGGGGAACTCCCGTGCTTGTGCATTACTATCGAAACAGTTTTATAAAACATCCCCTCTTCTATCTTTGTAATTTCGCTGTATGGGTTTATTAGGTCTGAATAAATTACATTTTATATCACTATCGGACCACAATCTCAATTGACATTTATTTTACATCTAATTACGTAGGGTTGCCATCTCTGGAAAAAATCAGAAAAAATTTCGTTCTCTAAATATATTTTAAAACCAGAGTGTATACGTAAAGAATGTTTCCAATCAAATTTTTAACAATAAATCTTTAATTTAAATTTGAATTTAACAACTTGAATTTTGTTGTATGAGTCAAATTGGCTCGCTTCAGTAAAAATAGGTATACATTCAACATCCGTAAATCTAGTGTTAATAAAGGGTTCATTGTCATATTACGCGGAGGAGTAATCCTACCCTTAATTAAAAGTAGTCTCGAGATACGCCATTTTCATCTGGAAAATCTCCCCCGATGGTCTTACGCAGATACATTGGAAAATGCAAAATCCTCCTATTTTCATTAAAATTTGAATTCCGAGCACGTGGCTGTTGCCTCGAGCTATCGGACACGCGAGTCGAAAGGTCGATTATGCTGAATAAACAAAAACAGCGACGAGTATGGCCTCGATTTATTTATCGATGGCGAGAATTAGTTCATGTAACGAGGGAATACTGCATGCACTTCGACGTCCCATTCGTTATTTATTCCTGTTGCCGATTAAAGTCGTGGCAGCAGTTGATTTAACCACTTCCAAACTAACTCGCTATCAATTTTACGCCGGAGAGTTATGGGCAGTTTGTTTGATACGTTTCGTTTCCTTTGAACTCGATACTTTGGGCGCTTACAACATTCAGAAATCAAGGATGAAATTGTAATTTGATCGTCGTTTACGTTTCCGTAATAGAGATGGATCTCCATCGAACGTTCGATATTTATTATAGGCGTTTGTGCTCATTTCCCCCTCATTACTCGTAATGGTTGCGCCAGTTTACGGAGACGTTGTTCGAAACGAAGGAAATCGTTGCGGATATCGTGTTGCTTTTCACTTCAATTTGAAATTTGATACGCTGGCATGCAGGCCATCATTAATTATCGTAAACTGCGTGGTACAATACGCCGTGAACGCTGGCGCATAGATCGCTACATGCGCATTCGAATCAATAAAGGTAAAAGTTCATAACACCATGGTTACCTGAGACCATTGGAAATCATCGTTCCCGCTCGAGAATCTTTCGAAACGGACCAGGGACGTTTTCACGGATGTTCGATTAATTGAAAAAAAATTTCTATTGGAAGTTGCAGCACTTTACTCGCTAAAACTAGTGTCATTCGTTTTGGAAAATTTGATATTGGACGGGGAAAATGGCGTCGAATGAGCAGATCGAATGTAGGTATAAATTTTTTTATATTTTTGGGTATTTCTAGACACTTGTAAGTAACATAATTGAAATAGAATTAAAATACATACATACATTACTTATAATATTTCATTTTGTGGATCGAAGAATTAAAAGTTATGAAATAAAGTTTGAGTTATTTGATCGCAGGTTTTGCTATACTAGCAAAATTACAAATAAATTAGCGTGATTGTTAGCATGTACAGAAAGTATACAGGGTGTCCGGCTACCACTGGGATAAATTTTAATGGGAGATTCTGGAGACTTCAATTTCTTGACTAAGGCTTCGTTAAAAAGTTATTAAACAATTAAAATAAATTTCAAATCATACTAAAAAAATTATTTTCGGTTACAAGGGTTGATTACAGTCAGTTTTGGTCATTACACACACCCCCGAAATCCTACCCAGTTTCGACAAAAAAATTCGTTACCGAAGGTATGTCTGATCATGAATGATTCCCCTGAAATTTGATGTATTTCAAATCGTTCTAAAAAAATTATTTCTAGTCGCAAGGGTCGATTACAATCACTTTTGGTGAATAGGCATATCCTCAAAATCCTGCGTCCTTTCGAAAAAAAATTCCTAAACGAAAATATAATGTACGGCCAGAAATGTACCCCGGAAATTTCATGCAAATCTTTGAAACATCATAACTCCTGAACGGATTGGACGATTTTAATGTTTAAAAATGCAAACGACGCGTATTTTAGTGAAGAATGTGCAGAAATTCCGAAAATAATCGAAAAGTTGATCCTTGACCCCGCAAAATGAGAAAACCCCCATAAAAATTGTCCAATTTCCAAACAGCCATAACTCTTACAATAGTGAATATATTTCAATGAAACTGTTTTCTGAAGTAGAGCTCATAGGTACCTACAAAAAAGTGTTAGACAACTTTTCTACAAGGCGTCAAACAAAATGACTAAAAATCAAAAACTAAATTTTAAGAAAAATCGTCAGGATATGTGCCTAAATTTTTCGACGAAAAATAAAAATTTCAAATCATTCTGAAAAAATTATTTTTGTATTCAGGGGTCATTTACAATCATTTTTGTTGATTACACATATTCTCGAAATCCTACCCAGTTTCGAGAAAAAAATTCAGTAAGGGCGGAACTTTAAATGTTAATAACTTTTTAACGAAGCCTCCATCAACAAATTGATATTCTTGATTTTCGTCCTATTTTGGCCTCTAGAATCTCCCATTACAATTTTACCCAGTGGTGATCGAACACCCTGTATGTCTAGAAAATTTCAAAATAAAAATTAAAGAATAAATGTAATTTATACCTAATTCAGGGCTGCTTATGGCAGAGTTCGATGCCATATTAGAAAAGACTAACGAATATCACATTTTTCCTCGTTATAGAGTTGAGTACTACAATTCCTAATGGAAATTTTTTCAAACCTGAGAAGCCTCTTTTGTGAGAAATTATAATTCTCACTAAAACAATATATACTCTAATATATTATGTATTAGATTATACTATATTATTTTATATTATATTCTTATATATACTTTTTAATATATTTTCTTTCTCTTCCAATATATTTTAAAAGACACGAAGCATAGGTCTTGCAAGTACCTAATTAAATTCTATTTCACAAAATATAGATCATTTTTAAACATAAACAAATTTATAATTATATACATATAAGAATTCTATAAATTTCAAACTAATAAATTGAAGTGAGTTACGTGTAATGTAAGAATGTACGATTTAAGTTAACATCACAAAGCTTTAATAAATGATCATAATTGAGTTTACTATTAATGCATAAATAAATTAAACGATCTTTAATGCACACATGTTTCCATGGCCATACAACCTGATATAATTATAAATTACATCAAACTGTACAATGAATGCTTGCAAGGCTTATAATCCTTTTATCATTTAAAAATAAAAGCGAAATTACTACTATTTTTCACATATTTTACCGTAAACAAATTCTTTAAACACGAAGCAGCCAAAACACGGTTTTGTGAGATTCGTAAGAATAGGTAGATTTTTCAAACTAATTTTATCGGAGGAAATAAGCAATACTTTTAAAGTAATGCTCCCGTTTTATCGTTCAATGCGGTTGGAGCACACTGAAAAGATATTTCGAGACTGGTAAATACACAGGGTGAGCCAAAATTACGGTATACGTCGAAGTATGTGTATCCGGCGTGTCAGGAACAATAGAAAAGCTCCGGTCTGTTTTAGAATCTGAATATTCGTTTCCGACGTAAAAGCAATAAAAGTTTCAGAGTTTGACTTCCGGCTCGTGCAATTGAAATATTGAGTGGCGGAGCGCGCGTCTACACTAACACATATTTAAAGTCACGTTCTCACTCGTGAACACACTCTTTTTCTTTAAAAAAACGTAGATTTCTTCAAAAACAAATAAAATTTGACGTTTCTGTGTATTTATATTAACGAAACTAATAAAGTTTCCAATTTTTGACGCGCAGATAACGAGAAATCCACAGCAATTCTTTATTAGCTGATCTTTTCATTTCACTGATATTCAGGACCACAGAAGGAAAATTGCAATGATTATCGAATAAATAAATTTGCCTGAGAAATAAAAATTCAGCGGATTTATGTTTGGGGAACGAGTGGACCAAGGCAGTATGTCTTCTGGATCTATTCTTAATTAAATACTCTTTAACACATATTTAAAGTCACATTCTCACTCGTGAATACTCTTTTTCTTTAAAAAAACGTAGATTTCTTCAAAAACAAATAAAATTTGACGTTTCTGTGTATTTATATTAACGAAACTAATAAAGTTTCCAATTTTTGACGCGCAGATAACGAGAAATCCCCAGGAATTCTTTATTAGCTGATCTTTTCATTTCACTGATATTCAGGACCACAGAAGGGAAATTGCAATGATTATCGAATAAATAAATTTGCCTGAGAAATAAAAATTCAGCGGATTTATGTTTGGGGAACGAGTGGACCAACGCAGTATGTCTTCTGGATCAATTTTTAGTTAAGAACTCGTTCGTTGGAGATGTATTTGGCTATCAGGCTAAAGTATAGCGATGCAGCGCGATGTTTAAATCAATTACGACGTACGGCATCTAATGGAACTTCTTCCGATAATTCGTGCAATTGATTATTCAAGAAATTGACACAAGATTGACTCGTTAATCTCCCATCGAGGAAAGCTGGT